TTAAAATTAACGATTCTATCATATGTTCTCTCGAGAATTGTCATTTTCCATCGACAAGCATAGAAGACATTACGTAAAATATAAACTAACTAAAAATATATTAAGTAAAGAATAACGCTAAATTTTATTCACGGTCTAAAGTTCTATATACTCATGCACACACGTGCGTGTTTATTTTATTGCAGTGGATAGTTTTTGCACATGGCTGTAAATGTTAGTATAACATCGAAGTAACATTCTGTCAGCGTCTACATTTATTTGTAATTTCGACCGGAGATAGTCTAATTATTATTTTAATTGTCAAGCAACTGTTTAAACTCCGTGGTTTATTGTAACGTATTATTATAATAGTACACGTTGTGGGTAACCTGTACTTAAATTATACATACGTACCAAAACTTCTAAGCATTCCGTGTCAATCGTCGGTAAGCCCCAATCACCTTTCCACACATTTAATTCGAACACGTTCATCTTACCGCAAAACTAAATTGTTCACTTATAGTTCTCATAAATCAAACTCACAGTAATTCCACGTGCTATCCTCCGCCATACAGTAAACAGAGATTTTTCTGGTTATTTAACCGGATATAGGCTTTGTATGTCACTCAAAAAATAATCAATGCATCATGAAATCGTGAAACGATTTATATATTTTTTACTCGTTCCGTACCGCGTCGATACACGTATTTCTATGTAGACAGTAATTGTCCGGACGCGATTTATGCTATTATCTCCGCGAATTGAAAATTCAGCTCCGCGTATAAATTATGTATGCAAATCTATGTAAATGACTTCTTTTGTTAAAAGTACGCGAGTCAAAAATTTTTTCGCCGATTTAAACATCCTTTACGTCGGACATGAATATACCTTGCACAGTGGGCAGAAATTAATATACACGTATGGAAAGATTTATATTTGTCGGAGAAGTCGTACAGATACCGTAAATATTAATAAACCTTATACTTAAAATGAAATAAAATGGCTTACGATCTTCGAATTTCTATCTAAAATCTTTTATAATCATATATGTTTAAAATAAATATATTTACAATAATGAGCTAACTATGTTCACTGTGTGAATTTCATGATAGATTGTGCAACGAATAATTGAACCATTTATAGAATTATGCATTTTAGTGGCTTAGTCTCGTTATTCATTAAAATACACATACTTCTTCCGCAGTTTGGATTTACCTAGCTTTTTATAACGTGTCTGATTCATCCGGGACATCAGCATATACATAAGAGGTATACAAAATACCAATAAATATAGCTTTAGAAATGATGGGAAATGGAATGCGAAATTCCATGAGTTTGGTAGGGAAATGGTAAACTTTTGTGTCTCCTCGAAATATGGAATATTCCTTAATATTACGATTCCTTCACAAAGAAAACCTAATGGATACAGAGGCATCCATAGAGTATATCTCAGCCACGTTAGAAATGAAATTTCTATGTTTAATAACTGAATGATATAGTAAGGATATCGAACTAGTTCGATAGTGCCCCAGACGAGGAAGAGGTAGAACACGACCGGCTTGGTTTGCATACGTGGTTCTGCCTCAATCATAGCAAATAAAATAAATGCTCTCCCTCCTACTTGTATGAACGATACGAACGTGCTACTTTTTGTGTAGCCAAATAACGAATGCATAACTTCTAGAAATTGTATAAGTTGTATGAATTTCATTGCGTTGCCGACAGCTGCATACGTATCTTTCATGAAAGCTATAATTGAAAGTTGATTAGTCGGTTGTACAGTTGAGTAGCTATTATATGAATCATATGATTACCAACCTGGCCCATCTCGTGAATACATGACTGCCATTACAATGTGCACATAGACGAAACCAACAAACTGGCATAAGTTGTAGATAATTAGGTAGACCTTCTTGAAATCTTCTGTGAAATAAATAAGGTCAAATATGCTCTTGATTCTAACATAGATTGAACGTAGAGATGGGACATACCTTTTCTGTAGCCAAACTCTTCTTTATGAAGCCTGTCGTACGTGCCAGGATAGTCATTGCATACATCTCGTTTTTCATCTTCGTTATCCTCTAAATCCTCGCTTGTCCATTTGTCAAAATCAATTTTCAACCATGTCGGTTTCTGTGGCTGACCAGTCAATCTTGGCCACCAAGCAGGATACTTTTTCTTCAGGATAAAATCCACTTGTCGATTTACCACTTTGTAATTACTTTCCTAAAAGAAACGATTGTATAATAAATGTGCAAACAATTTTTCAACAACAGATCAACTTACCTCAGCGTTAACGGACGAATATAAATCTAAGATGAATTCATAATTATTGAGACCCCTGGCACCTTGTCCGTAAGCAACGACTCGTAACTTTTTCTCATCCAAATCGACGTTGACATCCTATAAAATATCCGTCCCGCATAAACTTGCACAGAGTAATAGAATGCGCACAAGTACAAATTACGTACCTTAACGTCAGTCAGATCTACCTTTAAAGAGATCTGGGTTTCTGTTTGTGCCCAATATACGAATGGAGTTAAAACATTTGCCATTTTTTCATTTTATATTTCAAGAGCGATCGTTTATTTTTACAGTGATAGAATATCGAAAGTAGCCCTTGTTAATAAAAGATTCATACATATACAAACAAGTGTTCACTACTGGATCTTAATTTATTTTTCAAATAAGATACATATTACATTTTTCAGTGTCGTCAGCATTACTACTAGTAATGACTGGCTCTTATCCGATTCGTAAGATATGGAAATTTCTTATCAATTACAATTTGCAATGAACTTGAAATAGTGTAAGGTTCAGAATCAGACGGAATCAGACTACTAATACAAACACGTAGTACATGTGATTATTGACGTTCGAAAGCATGCGCGAAAATACTTGCTTATAAGAGAGAGAAAAATTCTTTTCCTTGTATATTTATCAAAATTACTACATGCATATGTATCTTCTAAATAATCCTAAGTTTCCTAAATCATATACTTTTAAAAATAAACATTCTCAACTTGAATCAGTATTAAAGGTCTCGCGAAATCTTGGGAGAGAAAAGATACATAATTACATTTATTATATATTTTAAAGAAAATCGAAATAAATCGTCTTTTATGTAGGAGAATTTTCCTTATACATTTTTAATGAATATTATTTGTTTGCTTGCGCAAATGCTTATAGATACGTAAGGGGACACCGATTGGTTACTGGTGGTGATCTGGTGGTGTTAACAAGCCGTAATTCAGAGTGACGTGTGCGATACGTGTCGCGACACAAGCTTGCCGTTGGACATACGGCAGTTTACGTTAAATATTACCAATATTAACCGAAAGATATATTAAATTGTCATCGTTTTACGGAGGGTCTATCTAATGATTAGGCATTTTTACGCACGCAGACTTGCGCGTGCACAATCGCAATCTATATAGGAAGTGCATACTTATAGTGTGGGTCGTACACATGAACGTAATCCATGCATTACTGTCCAGCTGACAGTTTAATTAATTAAATTGTATAAAAAGCGTCAAGTTTCATCAGTGCACATGCTAAACGTCGATCGTTCGAGACACCATCGCAGAGTAATTTATTTTCTACGGAAATGTGCGTCCGATGATGATTTGAGAAAAAGTTATTTTCGATTGACTCGGTGCGTAGTCACGTTCATATCTTAGGGTTAAAAGGTAATCTAATTATATTTTCTAACGTTAGATTATAATATATCGAGCTCCCACGAGCGATATTGTATCTTCGAAATACCCTTTGTGGAATTTTATTTACTGAAAGAACAGTGAAAGTGTGGATTCGCTTTTCGCTGATAAAATATGTTTCCGTGGCTTAGTTTCACGTGCGATTTATAGATCCACTCGTTAAAAGTATCGAGGATTTCGTTCAGATAACAATCAGACAATTTCGAGGATTCGAAATATCTGTAGTTGAGTATCAGAAAATCATTTATCTGCGATTAATCAAAATTGTTAATCGGTACTTCGTACAGACGTTTCGTTCAATTCTTTCTTCTTCGATTATAAACTTGTTATCCTTACTTGGATAGCAGACTGTCAGAACAGTTTGTGAAGAACTTAATTGCGATCTTCTTTACAAATATCTTTAGTATAAGATTTGCTTGAGACAGTATTCCCTTTGATGAGCGTACCATGACACATGTTACACTGTATTATCATCAATAGAAATAGAAAGAAACAATTCCTTAACATGATTATGAACACTTTTTGTATAAGCAAATATAACTCGTTTGTATTGTATATCTGTATTTGTTCTTATTTTATATAACACAATTTTTCACAGTTGAGGAATACAT